CCTGTCCCCAGCAGATTCCCACTACTACCAGTCGGACTTCTCTCCCTGCCCCCTGCAGTTTCCTGCTATTGTCAATCTTTTTCTTATAGTATTACGATAATTGTTCAAGCTCCGTTTATGAGTGAGAATATGTGATACTCAGTTCTTTGTTTCTGTGAATGATCACTCAGTATTATAGATTTTAAGTCCATCCAAGTTGCTGTGAAGTTCATGATTTTGTCCTTCTTTATGGCTGCATAATATTCCATTGTGTGGCAAAATGGATAAAATATCATCAGGCAATAATCTATTGCCTTCAAGAGACTCACCTCACTAGAGAGGACACCCACAGACTCAAAGTAAGAGGATGGGAAACAAACTTTCAGGCGAATGGAATACAAAAGAAAGGAGGAGTAGCGATCTTAATTTCAGACAAAATACCCTTCAAGCTATTAAAAATCAAAAAAGATACAGAAGGCCACTACATAATGATAAAAGGCTCAATCCATCAACAAGAAATATCTATCCTAAACATATATGCACCCAACATAGGTGCGCCAGCTTTCATAAAGCAACTTCTTGGAAAACTAAAGAAAGATATCGACTCTAACACCATCATAACTGGGAACTTTAATACCCCACTCACAACCCTGGACAGATCATCAGGACAAAAAATCAGCAAGGAGATCCGGAACCTCAATGTGACTTTGGACCAAATGGACTTAATTGATACCTACAGAACACTCCATCCAAAGACCACAAAATACACATTCTACTAATCACCACATGGAACATATTCTAAGATCGACCACATACTCGGCCATAAATCAAGCATAAGCAAATTTAAAAGGACCGAAATTCTACCAAGCACCTTCTTGGACCACAGTGGAATAAAAATAAACATTGACACCAACAAAGTCCCGCCAAAACCCACAAAGACATGGACACTAAACTGCATGATGCTAAACAACTTCTGGGTCAACGACAAAATAAAAACAGGGATCAAAAGATACCTGGAAACAAATGAAAATGAAGAAACATCTTTCCAAAATCTCTGGGATGCCCTGAAAGCTGTAGTAAGAGGGAAATTTATATCCCTACAAACACACATGAAGAAAATGGAAGAAACAGAAATTCACAATCTAACAAGCCACCTAAAGAAGCTGGAAAAGAAAGACCACAAAAACCCTAATTTCAGCAGAAGAATCCAGATCACCAAAATAAAAGCCCAAATTCAGGACATAGAAGGAAAAAAGATAATACAAAAAAAAATCAATGAAACAAAAGGCTGGTTCTTCGAAAGGATAAACAAGATCGATGGTCCCCTAGCTAGACTGACCAAGATAAAACGAGAAAAAAACTAAATAAGCACAATCAGAAACACAAAAGATGAAGTCACATCTGACCCTGAAGAAATACAAAAGATCATTAGAGACTACTATGTACACTTGTATGGAAACAAACTTGAAAACCTTAAGGAAATGGAGGACTTTCTGACATCACACAACTTACATAGGTTGGAACAAGAAGAAATTGAGACCCTAAATAGACCAATAACAATCAAGGAAATTGACTATGTAATAAGAAAACTTCCTACTAAAAAAAGCCCTGGTCCAGATGGCTTTCCAGCAGAATTCTACAAGACATTTAAGGAGGAGCTGATACCAATCCTACTGAAGGTATTCCAGGCGATTGAAAAAGATAGAACTCTCCCTAAATCATTTTACGAAGCCAACATCACATTGATACCCAAGCCAGGTAAAGATCCAACAAAGAAAGAACTACAGGTCAGTATCTTTGATGAACATAGATGCTAAAATTCTCAACAAGATCCTAGCAAACCGAATTCAGCAACACATCTCAAAACTCATCCACCATGACCAAGTAGGCTTCATTCCTGGGATGCAAGGCTGGTTCAACATTCGTAAAACCATAAATGTAATTAAATACATCAACAGATGTCAAAACAAAAACCACATGATTATATCATTAGATGCAGAAAAAGCTTTTGATAAAATCCAGCACCCCTTCTTGATAAAAACCTTTGAACATCTAGGCATACGGGGAATCTATCTCAAAATAGTAAAAGCCATCTACGAGAAACCCACAGCCAGCATACTCCTAAATGGACAAAAATTGGAACCATTTCCCCTGAAACTGGAACAAGACAAGAATGGCCACTCTCACCCCTCCTGTTCAACATAGTATTGGAAGTCCTGGCTAGAGCAATCAGAGAAGAGGAGGCAATCAGGGGTATCCAATAGGAAAAGAGGAAGTCAGTTATCTCTCTATGCAGATGATATGATTGTGTACCTTGAAACCCAAGAGAATC